AGGGAAAGAAAACAAACACGCTGAGTATCAAGTGTGTCAATTAGCAACTCAAGTGCCCCCTTTGGTCATAAATACATTACAAAATTCACTAATTATTTTTAAATCAGCACTTACACTATGCTGCGGTCTTCCACTGCTTCTAATTCAGCCACAAAAGTTCCTTTCAGACTCAAAAGCATTAACTAGATTCTGAGTAGACATATCCTGAACAGAAACTATTTTCTCCCTTTACATAAACACAGAGAAACTACAATGTGCTACCAGACACAAATAAGTCTAAATACAGACTTACTTTTCAGTTCTCTACAGACAGCATAGAACAAAACAAATAGAGTTACTTTAATAAAACTAATGAGAAAGATATTCCTCATGTATACATCAGGTATCTTCACCTGTTAAGGTAAGTGTAGTTTGAACAGGTGCACTGTTTTAACACAGTAAAGACATTATGAATAAATAGTCTATCTGGAACATAGAAGCAGATGAAATCTGCAATTGAGAAGTCATAATCTATCTAGTGGAGATTTAAGATCTTCAAAACACCTAAATTTCTGTATTTAATTCAAACAGGTATTTTCCTTGAAGTTATATACTTGCATGAGAGATCATTTGAGTCTGGTAAAGAATACCTTCAGCATGAGACAACAAAATACCAACTCAGCAGGGAGCCCTACTTCTTGTCTAGTTACATAGAACTAACCAGCCTGACAGAAAAAGCAAGCAGAGCACCTGATGGATCAGCTGTATAGCAAGGTTACATAGGTGAAAGCAGCAATACAACAAGAGAAGCTTGAAGAGCAAACAACTCCAATTGATGATTGTGGACAGTAATTGTGATAACAGTCAAAAAACTTGTTGCAAAGCATCACAAATGCAATTCCTGTACAAGCCAAAGCTCCCAGGAAGACATCTGTGACAATTGCCACATCAAGTGCAAGAGGTCACAGGATGTTCCAGGTGGGAGTTGTGGCCTCCACACTTCCCTCCACTCCCTGTAGCCCCTTCTGCATGTGCTCCCAGCTCACAAGGGGCAGCGGGTGCTCAGCTACATACTAGGCTACTCAAGGACAACACAGCATTTATGCCTGACTGCTTTTATGCCTAGTGAAATCTGAATAATTAGTCTAGCATGCTTAGTCAATATCACAAGCTTCTCTGGTTTTGCAACAATTATAACTTTCAAGTCAAAATTACAAAGTTATAAGGTTGAGAGCTAAAACATATGTGCTGCTTCCACCAGGATGCTAGCAGAATAAAACCCGAAGATGAGCTGGTTTGGGTGATCACAGCTTTAAAAACATGATGTCATATGCTAGGTGATTATTCGTTTTCCCCTCCCCCACCCCAGTTTTTTTATTATTACTCTTAAAAGCCATCAGGGGCTCTAGGTTTGTCCAATGCAGAATAGTGATTGACCCTGAACACCAATCTACTTTCTTACACAGAAATTGTCATAACCACTGACAATTTTATTTCTCACTGGAAAACTCAGCTGCCTTTTCAAAACTTACATGTTGAGTTTAGATTAATAAGTGCTTAAGTTTTCCAGTGCAAAGAAAGCTTACATCTGCATTTAGTTGTTTACCTCTAAAGAGTTAAGTGAGAGACAGGAGCTGTCATGGACCGAACTCTGAGTATTTTAGGGAGTTGCATTTAGCTTCTTATTGTAGCTACAAAGAACCATTTAACACATCAGCAGTTATGCAGCAACAAAATGCCTGTCACATTTCCAAAAAATGTATTCATATTTCTATGCAGTTATTTTGCAATAAAATATATTAAGAAAAAATCTTTGAACAGAACTCTTTATATGTTCGTTTTGGAAAAGTGATTTGATTACATTATGTGGAAAACTTTGATAAAGATTCCCAAATTTTATATTGCAATCAACTAAACAATTTTCCTAAATGAGAACAATTATTTTTATCACTGTGGTTATTGTATGAAGAAGTACAAATTAGTAAAAGTAACCTCCAAATTAAAAAAGAGCATACACCTAAAATCTAGCAAGCCTCCTTGCTGGCAATAAGAAAAAGGCAACATCAGTCTATAGTCTCTCATTACTAAGTACAGTCCTCAGGATATTTGGAAACCTACTATGTTGTTATGTTTCTTTTTCAAATAAAAACATCATACTTCAGCACACCACAAGGGAGTTCACTAAAGACAAAGAACAATTGGGCACCCAGTTCCTTTAGAGATGCACGGAGAGCTAGAACTCCCAGCTGGTCTCATCTCTGAAAGTCTCCTCCACAGGAAATTTTGTTCACTACAAGAACTGGTTTCCCTTCATTAAAAGACAACACAACTTAAAATCATTCTCTTGAAAAAGTTAATGGTGCCTTTTTCTTTTTTTTTTTTTTATTACATGGTTACATGAGACAACAGTCTAGAATTCTTAATATGCAGATCGATACAAATATTGCAGTATAAGCTATGAGTCAAAAAAGTTTACACTAGTGAAACTCAGAGCTTGTACCTGGCTCAACTCCAAATACACCATGAGAAGAGCCCACGAAGTACCCAGAAACAGATTGATAAAATCACCTTTTGGGGTTCAGGACCCTGAGAACAATTTTGAATCTTAACATCTGTAGATTATCAAGACATTTCTACAGCATCCTAATGTTTCACAGTGTAAGTAGTTACACTACTAAAAAACAATAACATTGTCATGGCTGCTGAAATGGTACAATTCTTGTAATAAACCACTGTGGTTTTATGCAACAGATTACAGTTTTAGCGGCCTGCTGAATTTAATCTTATAAGAGGCATTAACACAACATTTGTTAAAATTAAAAGCAAGTTTGCTAAAAACACTTCTAACACCTAAAAAAGCAGGTATGTTTTATATAATTGAGACTGTATTTGTCTGAATTTAAAGCAGAATAGAGCAGGCAAACCAAATTATACTAAGTTCCACAGAAAAACCCTGCTGCTTTCTACTGTAACATTTGCCATTTCACAAAAAGAAACATTTATTTGAGGCTTTTTCAACACAGTACATGGTTATGTGTGCTGGCAGAAATGTATAGAAATATTTCATAAAGGGTACTGAATACAAGTTATTAATTAGACACAAAAAGCACAGGCAGGGTTATAGCTGCCCACAGGGAAGAGGAATTTCTCTGACTAGGCCTCTAATGAAGTGAAAGATGAAATGCAAAAGAAAGAAGAAAAATCAATTTCATATGTCCTCTATTCATATAATCTTAGAGGTAGTCCTCAGAAAATATATTTTATCATTGAAGTACTTCAATGGAATAAAGGTCTGTTCTGAACAGGCCATAATATTCAGTATCTACATGCATCTTTTGTACTAAAAGCACTCCTAAGGGTGTTCAGAGACCAACATAAATAGCTCTGAAGACCAAATTCTGCCCTGAGACATTTATATGAAATTCCAACATAGCAACACCAGTCAGGCAAGAGAAAACTGAAAGGCAAAGAAATGACAAGTATTAAGGAAAGACAATTCTAATCCACTTCCAGCTTTCTTCTTCAAAAAATTACCAACAGTGGAAAAAAAGAGCTACTTGTATTTATTTCAACTTCCACCTCCTTTTTATTATGGTGATTTAGTCACAAGCAGGGAATAAAGTTTGGGTAGCTTGCAGTTTCCTTATATTTTTATCTGGATCAATAGACATTTATACCGCATTTCGGACAAACTAGGTAACATAGTAAAGCCTCAGCATCTGAGACAGTCTGGATAGATGCTAGGCTGTGAAGAGATATTAAAAACAAAATGGATCACAGTCATTCTGTGTCAGGGAAAGTGGGGGTGTGGGGTTTTTTTTCACTTTTGCTGACATTGTACACCCATCCCTTTACACTTTGCAGACTTTTTTGCATGCTGCATTCATGGCCCTGCACAGACTTTGGGAGGTTCCCAACAACTGCACAACTGAGGTCAGTTTCCCCTAGCCACCAACACATAGAACCTATGACAAGAGTAAGAGCATAGAAAAAGAAGGACTTCATTTAGCCATTTGCCTACTAAATCCACTTTGCCTCTTGTGGGAGAAATAAGATGTCAATCAGGGAAAGTCCAGAAATCTTCCCCTCCTACTCCTCCTCTAAATGGCACCACTTCATAAACTACAAATCTCTGCAGCTACTCGCCTTTGCCTAGTCTTTAAATAGCCCTACAGGCATAAACAAAAAATGGTGATGTTTTATGTAACAGCAAGCATTTTATGACAAAAATAGTTGAAGGACAGACATTCAAAAACAGTATATAAAAGGGAAGTATTAAGATGAGCAAACTCAGCTTCAACTCATGAATCTCAGAAGGTACAATCACTTTTTTTTTAATTTGTGAAATACTGATACTACATGCAAGGAAACATACACAGGCTTATGAAGATGAAAGATTTTCCTATTAGTCATTTATAGTCTTAGAAATACAGTTTTACACAAGAATAGAAGGCAGAATAATAGAATAGAAACAGATCATTGCCATAACGCTTATATGCTCTTCCTACACCTCAACACTTACTGCAAAACATGCTCCTGATCATTCCTGTCCATTTCTAGGATGCTGATGAGAACACATCAGCTGGGTATTCTCCTTTTTATTTCCACTCTGTTTCTGAGAATGTAAGTGAAGAGAAAAATAATGCAGTTATACCTTTTGAGCAAGAGTAGAAATGTGAAAATTGCCATTACGGATTTAACTAGAAGAATTGCTTTTCTACATTCTGTCACCAAGATTGATATCTGCAAGTTGTTTCAGTGAAAGAAAGTGCCAAAACACAAGAGCTTGTCTCTTCAAAGTTTCTCTGAAACAAGTTGGTTAATGACCTGAGAGTTGCAGCTTTTTCTCTTCTCACTTGTTTCTGTATTTGTTGCAACTGTGTTGACAGAAGTAACAAATTCCATACTAAC